AGGAATATCTGAAGGTTGGTAAGGATTCTTTGGCAAGTGATGTATTGCAAATACAAATTACTTACTACATCTATTTCAGTGTTGGAATGACCCATATTACAAACAATGCATCCATTTTTCATCTTGTCCATATGTTCGCGAGTTACTACATTTTTATTCCCAGTGGCTGTTATTACTATGTCTACATTACGAATAACTTCATTTAATTTTACAACACGAAAACCATCCATGCTGGAACATCAAACAATAAATCCACAAAAGACAGTAGCATAATTAATGTATAAAAATCAGACACAATAATTTGCTTGTAAGTTTTATCTTAGAATTATATTATTAACTTCCCCATACTATTTACTTGTTACAATAATCATCAAAATAAACAATACATTATAAACATCATTTAAATTTTTAAATCACTTACCAGGCTTGGAGAGCACATATTGGATCAATTTCCGTTATATACACCACACAACCCAATCCCTTCAAGGCTTGGCAGCATCCTTTACCAACTTCACCATAACCACATACCACTACTTGCTTTCCTCCGAACATTATGTCTGTAGATCTTTTCAAACTGTAAATCACACATTGGTATTATTTAAATTACGAGCCTTGACATTAATAAAAGATTGAAATTACTGACTTAATCGCAATGGTATTGCTTTCAAAATTAATCAAAGCACAAAAATGTTATGTAAAGATATAAGTTCACAGAAAATTATTCAAACAAATTTAAGATACGTAAATAAGGAATAATTTTCAGGAAAGCATTATACAAAAAAATAATTTATTACTAAATAATGCATTAAATATCGTAATATCAAAATAAATACAATACTTTGATATTAAAATGAAAATGGATGTGTGTATGTTGGAACAAAATATCCCTCAAAAAAGAAAAAAAAAAATTCAAATTTGTTGTTGCAATTTTATCAACACAAAAATTAAAGACCTTACTATGAACATTGAAATTTTTGACAATCATTCCAAAAGCTTACACTCAAATTTTGTTCATTTCTATCCTCGTATGTTGGAAAAATCAGAATTGATTGTGGCTATATTTGACTTTGAACCATAAAAAAAATTGGTTGATTTACTATTAAAGACACAAGATCACAGCTCTCTTCTTGGTGATGGCTTTCATTTCGAAAATATTGCCTTGTTCCCTGCACACACTCGTTAGTACCTCCATTCAATTATGCAATTATGCATCCATCCATCCATCCATCCATCCATCCATCCATCCATCCATCCATCCATCCATCCATCCATCAATCCATTAAACCAACTTACTAACTGAATGTTGCATCGCCGATGCTTTAACCAGTTTTAAAAATATTTTCACAAGTTGAAAATCTCTACTATAAAAGTTACAAATTAAAAATTAAAAAAATAAATTAAAATATATAGATGTCTAATTTGTTCAACCCCAGGTGTAGTAAATACAAAGTAATCTATTAAAATTAAATATAAAAAAAATGTGGTTGAAAGTCTTCTTGTAAGATGTTCTTTCACTTTCAGGCTATAGCCAGAATAAGCCAGGCTAAACCCACTCCAGAATATGGTGCAGGAGAACCTGATCCGAATGCGCCCAGAAGAGATGTTCTGAAAAGAACATTCTTTCATTGTATTATCAGGCTTATTAACACTCTGTAACACTATTATTTTCAGTTAGCTACGGTGTATTGGAAGTAGACGTCTTTTGTTTTCATCACATCTTGTTTTTAAGGTAAACAGAAATAGATTTTGTTAAAATGACCTGCATTTTGTCAATATTAGTAAATGTCGTTATTGACAAAATATGTTCATTTATTTTCATACATTAATTTCATGTTGGCATTTTTGTAATTAACTGTTTCTTGTGTATTGATGTTTGTGTAATTTATTAAGTAATAATTGTTTGCGAGTATAATTGTATGGTTATATATACTTTTACCACATATTTAAGTTTGTAATGTGAGCAAATATAGTTAGTTTTGTCATTGTTTTTACTCGAATAATCGGTAATTAAATAAACGCAATGTGTATATTGAATGGTTACTTTCCAATGTTTTTACTAATAATTGTTAGTTACTTTACCTGAAAATCAGTTTGTGATAGAAAAAACTACTTATGTGTTCTTATTAAGCAATGTGTATGAATAAATATTCAGGAAACATTGAAGTGGGAACTTCTTTTTTTTCTTTTAATTGTAACGCAATGTCATCAGGTAGTTGTAGTGTTTTATCAGCCTTTAAAAAAATAATTGTACATTTTCAAGCTCCTATTCTACAACACATTGATCCATTCTTATAGATTTATATCAGAATATAATTTTGTAGTTGAAATTATCCTACACAATTATCCTACAAATTATCCTACACACTATCCTATCAGCACCATCATATATGCTACACATAACAAAATTATCCTATGACATGCAACTCATCATATGGCCTAGCAACACTGACAATGAACCTTTCCCTTCTCAGTAATGGAAGCCCTACTCCACTGTAAAACCGCAGTTTCTGGGCAATAAAATCTCTCATGACCTGTTATTGCCTGTGGTACTGGGGCTTGAGGTTTGCATGGCCACCAATAGATTGCATTGCTAAAAAACACAAAAACACATTTTAAGACATTTTAGAACTTCCAAATGAATTCGCAAACAAAGTGTCTGTTCCCGACCAGGAGACAGAGACGTGTCGAATGACTGCATTTGTCTCAACTGGGAGGGGTCTAACTGTGAGTGACGGATGGACAGACGGACATATGCAAGTTACTCAAATACTGCAGAAGGAAATACATCCAACAAACATCCATCCATCCATCATAAATACATGCTACATGCTACAAACGTACACACATTCACATACATACACATGTATGCAATTTAAAACTTACCTGTCAATGATCGATTCACGACAACTATACAAATTGTCAAATTTGGTTTTTGTCACTGAATCATTAACATTCATAGCAGGAACTGATAATTTACCAGCTTTCGATAGTTGATAAAGGCGATGTACTCCTGTCACACTTTCTTCAACTATACCTGAAACGTTAAGAAATAATTTACAACAGAACTTTCTAACAATAATAATAAATCCATTGCTCTTAAACATTTGATTTTTCCAAATAAAATAAATACCCCATGATAAAGCAGCATACATAACAAGACATGTGTCTTATTAGATATAAAAAAAGACAACAGATTCTTAAATGTACACACAAACCCATCAATTGTACAAAACAGAAAAGAAAATTTAAGGTCTTTGAAAAACTTATCATTTTCGGGAACAATTTTGTTTATAACACTACAACATTCATAAATAATGATGACTGAAAATATAGATGGGAGAACAATACGTCAAAGCACACATTAATTACTTAGCACAGTTTCCAAATATTATATTATTCTTACCTTTAATTACTTTGAATAATGCTGGATATTTCTTTAACATAAGGTGAGTGGCATCTCCACCATCGTCCAATATCATGTTTGGCTGCCAATTTTCTGCATTTACACATTTATCAATACACCACCAAAAATCTTCTTCTGTTTCACCACGCCAAGAGAAAATTGGAAAACCTTCAAAGAGAGATCTCATTAAAGATAAAAGCATTTTTATAAATAAAAACATCAGAAAAGGAATAGGTGGGATGAAGAAAAATAACAATGAGAGAGAGAGAGAGAAAGGATCAAGTAATTCAGGACATAAGGGAGAGAAGAAAAAAGAAAAACCAACAGAAGAGAGAGAATAAAATAAAGAATGGTGGAAAGAGAGATAAAATCATGAATTCACCATATATAAAAGGGAGGGAGAAAGAAACAAGGAGAGAGACAGGATTGACTGATAGATTATTTAGTGTCTCCGGGTGTGTCAACTGTTATGGTCATTAGTCCATAGGTGTTAAATCCTGGGAGGAGGCAGTGTTTCTCCCACACTGGAACATGAGATACAGAGCCAACCTACACTTTGGCTAGCGACTCTTCTCCCTCCAAGTAGCACCACTCCAACTGGGACACATTCAAGGCTCACTACTTGTCTTCTGACATGTGTGGGAGAGTAGTATACGTAAATGTAACAGGAAAGGAAGAGACAAGGAAGGAAAGATCATACACAGGTCTGGCCAGTTTGTTAAGATAGTCCCCACAATCAGCAGATATAGATAGCAGATATAGAATCTTCAGAAAACTACCAAAATTGGAGGGGGGAGAACAAGGAGGAGAGGAGAAGTGAGAAGGAGAAGAGGGGAGAGGGACATGGAAGAGGAGAAAAACAAGAGGGAAGGAGAGAGAAAGTGTGAAGGAGAAAGAGAGAAGAGGCAAAGGGGGGAAAGAAAGCAAAAGGAGAAAGAGAGCTCAGAGGGGGAGACAGCGGTAAAGAGAGAGAGGGTGAGAGCAAAAAGGGGGAAAAGAGAGGGCTGGCAGGGGGAAGAGAGATAAGTGAGTAAGCAAGATGTGAGATGTGATGAAGAGAAAAGTGAAATGTGTAGGTGGGAGAGGATGATGGAGTTGGGGTTTTATAAAATCAATAAGGAGAAAATGCCATATAACTTTATGAGGTGGAGAAATTTTCTGGTTAAGGTAGGTTTCCGGCTTGTACATTTTCCAGTTTACATAGATTTTACTGCATTTTAAAATGTTTTCTTGGTATAGAAGTGTTTCTTACCTATGCATGCTGATAAAAAACAAAAACTGTTCCATGTACACATGAAGTTTATTTGTAAATTATATTTAAAAAAAAAAAAAAAATCATAGAAATTAATCACTTGTTGGTTCTAAACTCTTTATATAAACTTTAAAATAAACATGTATATACTGAAGAAATAAAAGCATTATTTCTTTTTTTTTTTTTACCTTGCCACTGCAGGGTGAGTCACCCCGTACCTCAATTGTTACAAATCTGGAGTGCCTACTGTCAAGTTCAAATCCAAATAACTAACAAACATCAATTATTTCCTGAAGACAAAGACATGTTGAAATTCCGCAGATCTGTATTAATATCTGATTCAAGGGCATCAAAATATGTTTGGACACAACATCAAAACAAGTGATTTCACAAAACTAATGTTAAATCACAACCACAGCGTGCCAGGAAAGTCTCTCTGCACCAAGCTGAATCTGGGGCTGCCACAGTCGCCGCTTCCATCCTCATCTTCACAACCCCCCGGACCACTAATTTCTCATGTGAGCTGTCACATCGACCCCCACCCCACACATCAGACAGTGGAGTCATGCCTGGTGATTGTGATACCAACATTATTTTTGTTGATAGCACTCTCGTCTGAATAGTGCTACTGTGGAGAAACTTTCCTGGTGCACTATTTCTGAAGAGCTATACTTGTTATTTTTGAAGAGTTCTGAACCCAAAACATTATGTGCATAAAAAATGGACTTTTTTTAATATTTATGTTCTAAAAAATTGATTCTTAATAAAGAGTTACTATCTTTGATGATAATACATTAATCTGTTCAACATAGGAAAGTTATAAAAAATATGAATCCTTACTGAATTTGCAATTAACATACCTGCTTCAGCTAGGGCAGCACCCACTTCATTCTACAGAAAAATTCAAGACAAAAGGCTGTTCTTATTAACTAATTTATAGGACATTTGCACTAAAAGTCAGGGTAAATTATAAAAGTACATGCACACAGTTTATAACAAATACAAGGTGAACATAAACCATACTGACATTTTGAGACTGGCTGTGTGGAAATGGAACAGGAATGATCCTATGAACATTTGCCCAAAATAAAATTCACAAACAAGATTATTATCCAATTCAGTTTAGGATCCTTCATTCACATGCAATGGACCACTCTGCCTGAAACACATCAATGAGCATCACCGAGAAGGGAGTCTATGTCACCCGCTGAAATCTCACCGTGCCACTATGAAACAGCAATACTATGGCAATGAGTATAGAAATGAAAGTTCTCTGTTGAATTCTCTAGAAAAATTTAACAATATTAGGCATATATCTATGAACACACGGAAATCGTTTCTAAACACATAGGAGAATTTCTGCCACAGTTCCACCCAGGAAGCACCACCCAGAGTATGTCAATAAGAGTTTAAATTCATTCTGATTAATAATTTTTACCAAGAAATCAGACTTGTATAACAAAATTCTATCTGACTTTAAGAAAATTTCACAGGGGAGCTCTTTCAAAGTTTAGAAGTTGCTCAAAACGATTACACAAAATGCTACATTTTGTTCATAGATTTTCTTTTCATAGAAGAAGAGAAGTTTGATTTGAAAATCACTTTAATATTTTTAGAACTGACAACAAACAGCCCACATGTCCAAACATCATTTTCACCGAAAAGTAAGTTAAAACTTTGTCATTCTACGGCAACAAAATTTCATTTTGCATAACAAATTCGCTATATTTCTGAACACCTACCTGCGTTGAATAAATGTTGCATGCAGCCCACCTTACTTGAGCACCCAATTCAGCCAGTGTTTCTATCAGTACCTGAAAAAGAAAATAAAACACTTTTTACAAAATGAAATAATATTTAGAAACAGAAACAACAATTTACTACATTCTACAGCATGTTATTAAGGTTTGTTAATTTATACTTATTTAATTACATACTTATTTAATTGCATTGTTACATTGTAACAATGATTTACAAGAATTATTTTTGTTTTCACATTTAAATCACACACTGCACATTTCCCTTAATACAAAGTACAAATACCAACTACACTGGCATTACCATCAACTATTGCAACATTATAAAACCCATACATATTTCCTGTACCTACACATAATTTGCAATTAAATACTAGAAATAATTGAATGGAATAAAAGATCACTTTTTAAGAAGTGCCAAATGTCACACGATCCAGTAACCAACATTAGAGGAGACCTAATTTCAGTGTTTTATGAAAAGAGCTTTAGAATAAATTCTGTTACAGCTTACTGTACCCTATGTGGTTCAACCTTATCAACCTGCAACAATCACAGCACCAATGAAATAAAATGGTGTCATCCAAGCAAATTCTACTCAGCTGGCACTTCTCTATGCATGTCTAATTTGGTTACAAGACTGTAATAAAACCACCTTGAGCCTGATCAACGCACATATCCAACACATTTTATGTTCAAGTACTTTTTCTCCTATCTTGTGGTTCACCAGTCTTGTATCATACAGAGTCAATTCATTCACAGGCTACATTAAGAGCCAAAGAAACAACTGAGCAATCAAAAATTTAATTTAGTCCCATCAATGTGAAGTGGGATTCTAAAATAAAGATTTTGGGTAAAATGGTCTTCTTTGATACTGTAGGAAGATTTTTTGAATTTTATTACTTTAAATGTTAATTTTGGAACATTTAACTCAAAAGTTATATTAAACAAATTATAAAATTAGTTGTTTTAAACATTTTCTTTTAATTCACAATTTATTTTTAAAATTGCCCAAGCCCTGCATAAATATGAAAAAGACGTATACAGTAACAGGGTAAGTCTCACCTTCATTAAAATTAAGATATTAACATTTACAAATACAAGGCTTATTGTGGTAGGTGTGGCTTATCCTGTTACCGCCTCAAGACCTTCATTTGTATTGTACCATCATTTAAGAAGAAATGTACAAACAAAAAAATCACAGTGTTTCACTTAATTGAGATTCTACTCGCATAGCCCCAACCTCACCACATGACAACATAAAACAATAAGTCAAATTGCAGCGCAGCGCAGCGCAGCACAGCACAACACAACAAAGCACTACACATGACATAGCACAGCACAGTACAAGTACAGTACAAGTACAGTACAAGTACAGTCCGGTCCAAGTCCGGTCCAAGTCCGGTCCAAGTCCGGTCCAAGTCCGGTCCAAGTACAAGTACAAGTACAGTCCAAGTACAAGTACAAGTACAGTCCAAGTCCAAGTCCAAGTACAGTCCAAGTCCAAGTCCAAGTACAGTCCAAGTCCAAGTACAAGTACAGTCCAAGTACAAGTACAAGTACAGTCCAAGTACAAGTACAAGTACAGTCCAAG